CTGGGGGCGTTTGGCGCCAGCGAAAAGACCGTGCGGTGGACAGAGCCCAGCGACGTGGACACAACGTTGAAGCGCCTCATGCACCTCGTTAGCCCTGCGCAGTACCGCCACCCGAGCGGCGCGTTCGAGTTTGCCTACCTCTGCTTCAACAGCGACGTCCTCGTGTTTCTGTACACGTTGGCCGTCCTGTTTGACGAAGACATTGCGATGGTGTTCTCGCGGACGCTGTATCGGTGGCACCAGCACAGCGACATGGACGTGTGGATCGAACTGCGGCTCATGGCGCTGAGTCTCCGTTGGTTGTGGATCAACTGCCTCCTCCTCAAGGCAAGCAAGTGGCTGTGCAATTACGTCAGCACAAAGCTGTACACCGGCCAGAACGTCGTCATGGGGTGGCTGAACTTTAGCTCGGTCACGTGGATTTACGTGTCGTACGCCGCCCTGGCAGCCCGCAACGAATTCATCGAGTACGGAAACTCAGTACGATGCGACTTGGACTCCACCACGCAAAACATGGACGCCATTTTTGTCGACTTTTTCAACAGCTGGTACATCCGCGCGTCGGGACCCCTCTTGGCGGTCATTGTGGGGAATCTAGGCCTCGTGCTGCTCGTGGACCATGTGTGGAATCGTCGGTGGTGGCGCTACCTGGCCAACAACTCGCTTGGACGCCAGTACATGCTCAACTCGACGTCGATTCTGTGCGACGAAGACACGTCGTTTATCACCCGTGCGGGGTATGCCGGCGCAAGCGTTGAAGTGCGAGCGCGGGCGCTGTGTACGATGCAATGGTTCCTGTCGAGCCATGTGATTCGATTCGGGCTACAAGAGCAGCCGCAAGCCGTGCGCCAAATTGTGGCCACGAAAGCGTCAACGCTCGGCCACAATCATGGCCATCACACTGGCCGAGACTCGGAGTCGTCGGTGAGTTCTCCTCGCGGATCGACCACTGGACGACGGGGCAAGGACGACGACAAACCCCACATGGTGTCCCCCATGGCCGACGAAGACATTCGCGCGAGCTCTGAGTCCGCCGCTGCCGGTGACAAGACCAGCAGCCGCGAGATGTACCTGATCGTTCAAGATCGAGAAGGGCACGTACGCATGTTTGACGCCGAGAAGCGAGAGTTGCAAGCGCTTGGGCTCGAAATGAAGATTCTCCGAGACTCGACATTCCACATAGCGTAGCCAGCGTTGCCAGTCACAATACTAGACTTTGACAATGACACAACGAATTGAATCCCGACGAGGGGCCTCGTCGGGATTCAATTCTGTCCTGGCACATCAAGCACAAGAACCAGCGTGGGTTGCCCGAATTGCACACGTGGGAGTGACTTGCTTTTCGTCAAAGTTTGTACATGTATGGATGCTTCCTCCGATGGAGCGTAGTGAACCGGTTTGTTGAATGGGTTGGTATCGTTCTAGTAACTCAGATGGACGGGCCACATTGGCATGTTGGCGAGAATGGTGGCCAAGTGCTCTGTCCTGGGAATGGGCCAAAGCACACGATGCACTGCGTTTACATGGCATGGGGCGCTATTTCATCATCCGAGCTGCAGGACAGCCCCTTTCACTACCTTCGATTCTATGCCGATAGACTGAATCTCTCGCTTGTCTCCATCGTACAAACGCAAACACCCGTCCCGATCTTGCACGAGGAAGTGAAACTCCATCGTGTCGGCGGTACCTGCCTTTTTGTCCGTCACATCTTTTGTCGATGCCGGCTGCACCTTGCACTGAAGGATGTTGTCCTTGGACGGGCTTACTCGCAGCTTGCCCCGGGTCTCTCCACGCACCAGCGGACTTATGGAAGTGCCGGCCCCTATGCTGGTGGTTGTGACGATCGTAGTGCCGACTTTTGTCGAGACAAGGCGTCGAATCGCAGCGGGGTCTTCGGGTAACCCAAAGCAGACCAAGTGACTCGAGAAAAACCATTGGATCGTACTGAGTTCGGCGGCCGGGATGGCCACGATCGAGTGGAGGCCCTCTGCCTCGATCATGAGCTCCTTGTTGAGAACGATCGACGTCGAGTTGTACATGTGCTGGCGAGCCAGCGAGTTGTTGGCAACGACACGCCACCACTTGCGCAGGACGATGTGGTTGATGCCCAGAACGAGGAGCAGGTTGCCCAGGAGGAGGCAGATCAACGACGGCATGCCTCGCATGTACCAACTGCTTTCAAACTCGACATAGACAGACTCAATGTTGTGCTGGTTGGCGGTGACGTCAACCCGCACCGAATTGCCGTACTCGATGAAGTCGGTGCGGAGAAAGACCGCACCGACCGTCGTGTATATCCACGGGATCGAGCTGAAGTTGAGCCATCCCATGACGACGTTGGCGCCGTTTGTCCGGTGGACGCTGACGAGGTTACAAAGGCACTTGACCAGCTTGAGCAGGGCCAAGTTGAACCACAGCCATCGAATCGACAGCGCGCGTAGCCGCAGCTCCATCCATAGATCGAACGGGGCGTTCGAGTACCAATTGGTGGCCACGCGGGCATACACCATGGCGACGTCTTCATCAAAAAGCGTCGCCCCCGAAAACGCCAGGACCACCACGTCGCTGTTGGCACAAAAGTAGACAAACCCCATCGCGTGCGACGCGCAGCGATACAGCGGGGGGGCGACCATGTGCATGAGGCGGGTGCGCCACTTGGTCAATGTGAGCGCGTCCGTCCACCTCACACTCTTCTTGGACATGGTAAACGTACCAAACGCCATCAGGACAGTCAAGATGCGAACCCACAGCGACACAATCGGCCCAAGCCGTCGCGTCATGATGATGCCTGCTTTGTGGCGCAGGCCAAAATGTGCACGACTTGAAGCGATCTCGACACGCTTGGTTGCCGCGTTGTACGAGTACTCGATCTCGCACGTGACCATCCCCAGCTCCGTGTTTGGCCGGCATCCCGAACAAAACGCTTTGCTGTACAGTCGGTACATTGTCACGTTGAGAGCCACGACCTGTTCCGATGCGTCGACTTGAAATGCTGTGGTGAACCGCATGTCGAGACCGACGCGCGCGAGCTCGTACCCCATGGCTTCCAGCGTTGCAACGGTGGCACCGACGGCGGCCGGGGGCGACGAGCGCGTCGTGCCCAGGAGATGGCTCAGCGCTGTTCCTCGCACAAACGTGACCTCGTCTCGAATGGTTCCGATGCGCACGGTGTCGTTGACGGCAGTGTCGACTGGGTACGACCCCGTCAGACGGCCACAAATGTCGTTCGCTTTGTCCTGGATCTCGTACGAGCTCATGGTCAAGAGGTAAAACTTTTCGGGGTTGTGCACGTGCTCGAGAGCCATGTCTAGCATGAATTGGCCGACGGGCGAGATGGCCGTGGGCGACGCATGGTCGGGGAAGGCGTAAAGTGAGCTGACACGGTCCCGCGTCCTGGCGTCCAGGAGCGGGGTTGTAAAGTGTTTGGCGTTTCCGACAAAGTCGTTGAGCTCCCAGTTGTTGCCGATGAGGTCCACCGCCATGAGGACAGCACAGACGACACTCAAGAAGATCCCGATGCTGTCGATCGCTTTGGCAAAGTGGACGCTGAGGCTCATTCGTGATGGCCGGACGCGCGGCAGCAGCATGAGCGCCGGCACGATCATGTGCAAAGCGGTCGTCTGAATTACGCTGAAATCAAGTCTAGGGTCGGCGGATATTGGCGATTCCGAGTGATGGAAGTCGTCCGAAGGCGATGCTATTTCGAGACGCGGCGGGTTCAAACCATCAACAT